TAATTGAATAAAAATATATTAATAAATAAAGTTAAGTACATAAATGTTGCTTTATCTTTTGAATAAAGTAGTAATGGTGGAGCCAACGTTTTCTTTGATATCCTCCATCCCATGTTAATATGAAAAAACTTATATATTTAATTTTATATATTTAATATATTTATTCTAATTAAATTAAGACATATAAATATGTTTGTATATTATTTACTCTATAACACTTTTATTATAATATTTTAATACTTTAAAACTCAAATGTTTTGATTTTGATTGGACATATATCAGAATTATTAAGTATACAAGGGTATCTACTTTAGTCTTCGGTAGCAATTATTATTATGCTATCTCATACTAGGCAAAGCTAGACAAAACAAATAGTCTAGTATGATTTAAATATATAAATGGGTGCTTAATTTTGCACGAATAATTTAAGCTATTAATTGATGTTGATGAGGTTACACATACATCAATTTCATTTTGGGCTCCGCATCCTTTTTTTTTTTTTAAATTTAAATGTGACATTCAATTGGTAATGAAAGCGCAAGCAAACAATAAAACAATATTTGTTTATTGATGCCTTGTCTTTGTCTATACACTGTTACTCCTATATACAGGAAATGAATACAATGGAAGAGTAAAAGAATATGAGATAACTAGGTAGCTAAAAATAGTGCACATGAGAATATGACAAAGGTGTTATGACTTGACATTGGTCAAAGAATTAAAAGTAGCTTTTCATGTTGCTTTGTGCTGTTATTTCTGTCACGGGTAAATGATCTTAAAAAAAATATCTTATAAAAAAAATGGAACGAGTATGATTTAGTGGTTATGAATACTATAAACTTTTTTAACCTTTCTTTTTCCAAATAAAGAAAGGAAAGAAAAATGATAAGCAAGGGACGCATTACGGTCCACAGCATTCATAGGCCATAGTGGAAGTTCTTTGAATATCCGAATATGTTTTAAAAAAAGAACAAAAAATGAAAGTCAGTTCAAGACTTCAAGTAGATGCTTTATGATGCTCTTTTTTCACCATGCAATTTCTGATTTAAATAATCTAAGTGATGAATGACTATGTGACATCCAACTTCGAAAATGCAAGGAAAATCATTAAATTTCCTCATAATTTTTTTTTTGACTCATATGTATGAGGTATATGTTAATTATATATGTTTGCCTCTATTAAGTAATAAAGTGATTGAGTAAAGTATTGCTTCTCTCATATTTGATTCTAAAACTTGATGAAATATCTACTTCACACTATGGATCAAGTCAAGCGCATCATAAAAATAATGGAAGAAAAATATGAATTAATTAATAAATCTAAGACAATATCTAATTAAATTATGTTGCCTATGCTATAATTGTGTGTTCTGTGTACAATGCAGGCAAGATTTGGTGAGCTCAAACGTTGGTTTCACCTCAATATTTAATATGGTTCTGAGAAGAAAAATTGAAAAATTCTAAGCGGGAAAGCGTATATTAATATATTGACGTCCAACCATTCATAGGCTATCATCAATAGACAGGTCAATGTGCTTTGAATACCTTGTGATGCTCTGTTTCTGGCCATGCAATTACCTAATTTTCGGTAACTAAATGATAAATTATCACAGACATCGTACTTACCACACACACAGAAGCCAAAAATAATTCATAAAAGCATATGTGGAACAATACAAGTCATGAAAATACATTTGAAAATAGCTTAAAAATCATTCAGATCAAACAAAAGTAACGAGTGCACCCAAATGTTTTCCTACCAATCATCAAACTTTATTAAAAAAAAAACATTAACAGTAAATAACAACACACGTGTGGAATCAAATCAAGATATCGTGGCTAGTTCCACTCGAATACTGCCTTCACACTGTATTACTGCTGCTCGGAGCAAACCTGTCCATGGATGCATGCCTCCACGCCAGACCACTATAAGAAATTGAATAATGTAATAATCAAATTATATGTAGTGGGAAAAAAATTAAAATTAAGAAATCATTGTATATTTAATATGCTTATTGTTTGTAATAAAATCCAAGACATGTGAATTTTATATATTTATTTATTCAATAACAAATTCTTTAATTATTAATATTTGTAATACTTTTAAAATCCTCATTTTTAAATTTAATTGAATGGAAATATATAAGGCTAAAAACACTAAAATCTTCCTTTTAATATATCTATACGGACGTACTATGGTAATTGGAAAATCTAATAAAACATACCTGTCATAGTAACCGACTAAGCGTGGTCGAAGGAGATTCTCAGCTTCAGGTTGGTCCCCACTGCAGTGATTGCCACCATTCGTTTTCACATATTATTTCTTGGAGAGTGGTTTGATGGTGAGATTTGCTGACCAGCCTCTACTCCAACAAAACCCAGAGGCAACTTCATCAGAGCAATGCAGCCCACAACTTCAATAGTGCGTAGAGAATTGCATTCAATGTCCCTTTGTATATGCTTTTCAGTCTTGGCAACTCCTTCAATTTCAACCTTTGCAATTTCGGAAGGATCACTTTGGCAGCATGGCTGCTGTTTTCAGCGCTTGCATTCCTCTCCCTTCAATAATTCTTCCATCGCGAAAGCACCCATCGATGACAATTTCTTCCAGACTTTTAAGCTCGTCCACGAGCTGCCTCGGGAACAGACATTTCAACGAACAACAGACTGACACCTCAATTCTCTTGAGGTTCATCAGAGTACCTGATCTCAACATGCTCCTCAACCTTGGAATATGATGTAGTAGATTCATTGGCTGTCGCTGGGGCAAATATTCTCCTCGGATTCAAGAACGCGTTCCATACCATCAAACTTAGAAATTATTAACTCCTCTACATTTCGTGGAATCAATGCAGTAGTCTGGGCTTCTGAAACATCTCTTCCTTGCCTCTCCTACTTATTGCCAAACAATTTTTCTCAGATAATTTTGGAACAACTGAAAACCCGACAACAAGCTTCGACTCCTTTAATTGAGAATAATTCAAAAATTCAGCAAATTTTCGATAATCTTCAAAGTCAAGGAATTGCATGTGTAGAAGAGACAGATTACGACAGGATATGATTTCTTCCACTGACACTGCAAACAAAGGGCGTACTTCGCTCTCAGATGATACTCCAATCATATGCGTACCCAACATCAACAAGCCCTCCAGAAGAGTAAATTTGGATATGAGTCCAGCTTGTAAGTTTTGGACAGATGTGAAGGAGAAATCCAAGTGTCTCAAATCAGTCAATTGTTCCATCCCCGGTGGAAGTTCTATTAACTTTCTAGAAAATGAAAAATCTAAATACTTCAATTTAGTGAGCCTTTCTAAGGATGGAACTTCAACAAGATTCCAACAGTGGCTCAACAACAAGGCATGTAGATTCTCCAAATTCGAAAGAGACGCCGGCAAAACATGAATCCCAGTATAGGAGAGATTAAGAACTTTTAGCCCATGCATGTTGTCAAAGAAGTGGTGCGATATGTTTTCTTCAAATGAGTTGTATTGAAGTAGCAAAGAAGTGAGTCTAGGACACGTTGGACTGAAGTCTATAGATTTCACATCATTTCTCATCAACGATACCCATTGCAACATCCTCTCTCCATTCTGAGGTATTGCTGGTTTTACTTGTTCCTTGCCAGCATTCACAACGCATCTAGGCTTTGTACTCATGATTGTGATTGCCATGTCTCTTACCACATGATGCAATTTAACAAATCTCACCCCATTTTCAGTCTTCGATTCCAGCAAGCATCCTGATATTAGTTCATCTATAATCATTTGCCCCTTTCGTTTCATCACAGACGTGTTTGGACCTTCCAATAAATCTTCCCATACCCAATAATTAATCAATTCATTCTCATCAATTAGGTGACCTCTTGGGTATAAGGAACAATATAGAAAGCACGATCGCCTTGCATCATCCTTTAGTTTTGAATAGCTCAACTTCAAACGAGAACACACCACTTCATCAATAGTGTGTATGCCAGTACTTGAAGTTCTTAACTCTGCCAATGCATTCTCCCACTCTCTTATGTTAGTTGTGTTTCTCAATGCACGTCCAACTGCAACAATAGCTAGAGGCAAACCACCACATTCTTTTGCCACCTCCCTGGCAATTGATTGTATATTTGCATTTGATAGCACTTGTTCCCCAACTTTGTCCTTGAAGAGATCCCATGCTTCTTCTTCTGAAAGAACTTCCACTTCCACATCTTTGTCTGTTTCCATACCTCTGCACACTCTAACGTCTCGAGTTATAATCACCAATTTACAACCATTCTCTACTGTTGGCACAGGGATTCCAACACTTTCAATAGTGAATGGTTCCCAAACATCATCTAAAATCAGTGTAAATTTCTTCCTCCTATTAAAAGCTTCTAAACAATTTTGAGGCTCTTGTTATTTCATCATCAGCTTCTTGAAAAGTCAAATCCAACTTCACAGCTATATCTGTTGCAACTTCTCTAGATCCTTTGATGCTTCCGCCCAAATAATGCAGTTAAACTCATTGCTATTATTCAACAGGTGATTGTTAATTTCTGACATAATAGTTGTTTTACCGGCTCCTCCCAAACCACAAATACCAATCCTTCTAACATTCTCATCAGACAAGAATCCCCGGATCTTCATAAATATTTGCTTGTGTGTTTCGCATCCCATCATTGGCGTTGCAGACAAAATATCACCTCTTTTGCCTACAGGAATAGCAACATCCTTTAAATCTGGAACAGTCTCTATAAGTTCACGAATATCTCGGATCTTCTCCTCAACAAGTTCCCCTAACTTGATTCTTGAACAAATAAAACTGAACCATTTAGTTTGTCTAAGCCGGCCATTTTCATCCATGAGATTGCGCACTTCACTTCTTACCTGACCAACTTGCTCACGCCATGTACTACACACATTTGTTGATTCCGCCCGCAATTGGTTTATTTCATGTTCAACATCCCTTTCATGAGCATCCAGCCTTTGCATCAAATTATTCATCTGCCGAATACTCCTTTTGAGTGTTCTCAAGTGTTTATGCTTTGTTCTAACGACTTCATGCAATGAGCAACACGAGCCTATGATGTTTAACACACTGGGAACAACTTCCATGGAGGCTTCAAAGAATTCAAACAAACCGAGGAATATAAAATGCACGATGTAAATTGCAGCAGCTGGATTAGCTGCATATTGAAAACATTATGAAAGATCAAATATATGGTCTTCAAAATTATAAATGGAACAACATGAAGAGCAGGAATATATCTAAACAACAGTATCCCCAAAATAATAATAATAATAATAATAATAATAATAATAATAATCAATAAACAAAAGTCTACTAGAGCATATATGTGTAACTAAAAGAGAAACAAGATGCTGATTTTAGCGACACATACACAAAATTAGAGTATCAAACTATATTGAATTGAATCTTGAGTGTTTTCATAAATGGTTGAAATATAAAATTTAAACAACAGGGTATTGGTAATAGCAGGTAAAATTATAATTTAAATAGTGCCTTAGGATATTATTTTTAAAAGCTATTCCTCTACATTGGATTGATCTCATGGCAACTAGTTCCGTAAAATTAAACAAACTCTTCTTATAAAATGAACAGGATCACAGAAGAAAAAAATTTATAAAATAAACTCAGGCAACAGCACAAATGATGCAATATGACAGAAGAGGCCAAAAGTTCAAAACCTATGGGAAGCAAACCTTTTATTAGGCAGAAATCACATAACATTAAACAATAAAAACACCTTAATCACAATTGAAAAACAATTTCAGGTAATAATATTTTTTAAATTATATGTTCAAAATAATCAATAATCTTAAATAATAATTAATATTATTACTTTATAATAATTCGTTTTAAAATATCCATAAACATTTTATAATATCCAACACAGGATACAAGATGACGAGGAAGAATATGATATATCTAAACAAAAGTCCCCAAATAGAAAAATAATAAAAAAAGACCTGCTGGTAAACATGTATAGTAGGAATAAAATGATAAAACAGAGGACAAAGAGATCAGGAAATAAGCCTACCAAGCTTGTTTTAGAACACGAAACTCAGATCCCACTTGGGTTGTTTCTGCAGACTGAAATAATGGTCACAGCGTTGCATCACCCATGTCTTCCTCACCTATGCCACCCTCTTCTTGCAATCTCTTCAAAATGTTTGATTATGTGCTAAGCTTCTACTCTTCTCTACGATCCACAATGAACGCGCAAGGAACTTGATAATTTCAGGGGTCAGAGTTGAAATTCACTCGTTCAGAGAAACAGAGGGATAGAGAACAGAAAGGTAAAGTTGGTAGAACGAAAAACCGTAGGCAAGAGAGGTTGAAAAAGAAAGGTGAAACACCAAAGCTTACCTTGTCGGTGGAAGGCACTCACCAATGAAATAGGCCCTTAGTGTTACATAAAGGGAACATTATCATGTCATGTATGTCTGTTACATGATCCTGGCCCATCCATCACTCAATAGCCTGTTATATATTCCCCCAAAAAAAAAAAAACAATTTAGATCATTATTTGGCTTCTTTATTTTTTTTTTCTTGAGACCTATAAAAGGTAAATTTACTTCTCCATTCTTGTCACTTTTAACCTATATAAGCAATCTGAATACATAAACATTTTATAAAATTATTCTGATGTGAGGTGGCATGTTTTCATTAGTGAAGTTCAACATTCTTAAGGTGAAGTATAATGCTATGTGTGATGTTCTGTTCTTTTTTTAACTTTGCAGTTACTTGTTCAAGTAACTAAATAGTGAATGATTATATAAAATATTACTTGGCAAATATTTGCCAAATCATTAGCCAGCGCTATGCAATTAGTCACGAAGATTCGAAGATACAAGTGTATACTTGTATAGTATAGTGATTAGTTGTTCTGTTATGCTGTTATATTAATTCATCATTATTGTTCAAGTTGTTAGAAATATTATCCACGTGTCCTTCTCTGTAAGGCTGGTCAACTAGTCATAAAAATTACTCTGACATGTATACACTCTCTGAATCAATGTGATTTTTCCCTTTTGATGTTTTCATCTCTTCTCTCTGTAACCATTGATAGAAGAGTATAGACGAAGAGATATGGGATTTGAGAAACTAAATACTTCCTTCAATGACAGATCCAACATTTTTAGGATTTGATGGCAATATATATATACATAGATGGCAAATATAAACCAAATCATTTTGAACACCAAACTCATTGAAATGCTATCTAATTGGTCATATTCCATCAACCAATAGCATTTTCTTTTATAAACGTTACCTATTATTGTTGTCTTCTTGAAGTTTTTTTTTTTTTTTTGGCCAGTGTCTTGTTGATGTTCAATCTGTAGTATTTCTCTTGTGTTAATTGTAATCAAATGTGTGCTAAAATTGAATTTAGTAAATAGATCAATTAAATGCTGACTAACTATACAAGATATAAATTCATATTTTCAACTTACAGTGATAGATATGAATATTATGAATCTTTGCAATTTCAAGGTATATATAAAAACCTCCAATCTACCACCAGTAATTAATCAGCTTCCCTTAGCCTTTTTTTTTTTTTTTTGGGTTTTAAGATAAGTCAAGGATTTATATATGAATAAGGTAAAAGTAACAGCATAAAAGATTACAAAGATATAATATTAAGGTTGAACCATGGAGAAAAGTTGAAAATAGAAAATAAATAATTAATCATCGTTAGAAACATGGAAGCTTGCAGGATTGAAACGGGCTAGCAGAGATGGGATATTTGCACCAAAAGATTACGCTCAAGCTTGCTGGAAAAAGCCTTGTGAAAGAAATTTGACACAGACTTGAACCAGTCAGAGACAAGATATACTAAGTATTAGTAACCCACCAAAGTGCGTAACGGAAACAAAGTAAATAGCACGTATTGATATCATTGCTAGTTTTCTTGAAGCCAAATCCATTCAAGAATCGATTCTGGACAAAGAAAAAATATGACAAATGATGGAACTACTCCTTTTAATTTTCTTCATGGCAATTATCAAGTCAGATGAAATAGAGGAGATCTTGACAGGCCGACTGTGTATTAAGATTTCTTAACTAGATGAATCATCACCCCAATCACAAATTAGTGTCCTCCAGAAGAAAACTTTGATTCCAAAAAGCTTTGTATTATGAGTCCCATATCAAAAGGCTATATTAGTGGAATATGATTTATAAGTCAACTGGGCACTCTCCCCTTAAGAGGTGCCTTTTAGGAGTAAGGCTTGTGGTCGTAACATTGGTACTCTCGTTAAGAGCCGTTGTTCGCAAAAAGGGCCTCTCACGGAAGGGCTAGCCAACAAAAGGCTGAGTGAAGCACCATAAAATGTGAGCTATCATGGATGCCGACTCTTGAGGGGTGGACTATGTTATGAGTCCCATATTTGGAAGCCACATTAGTGGAGTGTGGTTTATAAGTTAATTGGGCACCCTCCTCCTATGAGACCCCTTTTAGAGTGAGTTCTACCCGAAGGACTTGTTGTTGTGACATTGGTGCTCTCATTGAGAGCCACTATTCATGAAAAGGGCCTTCCATGAAGGGGTTGATTGGCCAAAGGTCAAGTGAAGAGCCATGGAATGTGAGCCGTAGCAAACGCCGACTCTTGAGGGGTGGGCTATATTATGAGTCCTACATCAGGAGGTCATATTGGTGGAGTGTAGTTTATAAATTAGTCGGACACTCTCCCCCTATGAGGTGCCTTTTAGAGATGAGTTTTACCCAGATGGCTTGTGGTCATAACATTGGTGCTCTCGTTGGAAGTTGCCATTCGTGAAAAAGGCTATCCACGGAGGGGCTGACTAACCAAAGGTTGAATAAAGTGCCATGGAGCATGAGTTGTCACGAACACTGGCTCTTAAAGAGTGGGCTATGTTATGAATCCTACATCAGGAGGCCATATTGGTAAAGTATGGTTTATAAGTCAATTAAGCACCCTCCTCCTACGAGGCTCCTTGTGGGGGTGAGTTCAACCTAGAGGTTTTGTGGTCGTGACATTGGTGCAATGTAACGAGTACAAGTACAAAAAGAAAACCCATCTCAAAAAACTAGCCTATTAGATGGAAAAGCCCCTTGAACTTATAAATTTCACACTACTTGTAAAGCTCTTCAATGTGGGACTCATGATAATGCCACCTCATTAAAAACTGACGTCCCTAGCGGCTTCACACTCTAAGATACTTCACTCGGCTCTTACAGATCAAAACCCTTTGTAGGTAGTCCTTTCCATGACACCAACTTCTCAATGAAAACACTAATGTAACGAGCACATGTTCAAAAGAAGAACCCATCCTAAAAGATTAGCCTGTTGGGTGGAAGAGTTCCTCAAACTTATAAACTCCACACCACTCATAAGACTTTTTAATGTGGGACTCGATCCTGACTAACACATTGATGAACTCAAAGATTCCTTGATTGCTAGATGAAATTCAGAAGAATAATTATGCATGCACAAAATTAGATGATGGAGGTTGTTGTGAAATAACAATTCAAAGATATTCAGTAACATCAGCATTCCTTAGTGTTCCAACACAAATCAAGCATTAGAGACCACCTTTTTATGGTGACTCGAACAACTTGAAGAAGCAGATGCTTCACAGGAAATCAAAGGTAACAAAAAAAAGATCTGAAGGTTTTAGCAGAAAGATGATGAGGAGAGATCAACAAATAAGAACATCAATTTGAAGGAGAAGTGCTAGCGACAGATGCAAAAGGAAAAAGGAAGTGAGAAAATGCAAAGAACACAAAGGAAAGTATAGAGAACAATAAAGATGTTAAAGAAGATGAGAAAGCAAGGGAATACAAAAGAAACAATTTGGATTTAGGGAGCAGTCTAATTCAATAATAGTTTTTGAATTTTATTGATATTTAAAAATTATTATTATCATATATTTCTCTTCAAATATTGAAAATATTCCTTACGACCAGAGCACTCTTTAGTTATATTGCTCCCCAAAAATTTGAGATTTAATACTTTCTAAATATTATATGACAAAGTCTTTGACAATCCATTGAAATTAGATTGTCAATCTTAGATAAGATTTATAAGCTATTTTAATTTTCAAGTATTCATATGAAATCTAATCTTAAAAATATTAGAATTGAACAAAGATAAAGAAAACAAACAAAATAAATGCTGGCTCTCTAGATTGACCAGAAATTATTTTTATGTTTTATTTCTTAACAATTCTTTATGTGATATTTATTTAATTTATAAGATAAAGTTATCCAATTTCATGTTTACTGAGAAATAGTAGTTATATCTTTAAAATGGTTAAAAAATATATAATTTTTTAATTTTATCCTTCCTTATAATTAATTAAATATAATAAATTGCTATCTAGAAATTCAAATGCTAATAAACTAACAAGTAATAAATTACTTATTTTAACCTTGTCTTATATTATAGGATTAATGAGCAAAATGAACCCTGAAGTATTGCGCAAAAAGCATCCTAGACCTTAAACTCTTAAAATATGCAAAATGAATCCTAAACTTTTAAATTCATAACAAAAGAAATCCTAACCATTAATTTTTTATAACGCCATTATTGTTCATTGTTAATTAGCTCTATAAACTCTAAACTATTACATGAGTAGCGTTTTGGACCCTAAACTTTAAAATTTTAAGCCAATTATTCTTAACATTTATGTATAGAATGTTGACTATTATATAGACCAAATTAGCCTTAGCATGGCCCGCTACGGTGAATGCATCGTTAGCCATGGCGAACGACTCATGATTTTGTGAAATGATATTTTTTGTCCCTTTTTTATAATGTTTTTCAAACGATTAGTATTTCATACTTCTATATATTTTAAAATTCTAATTTAGTCTTATTTTAATTAATCTTTATTTATTTAATGTTAAAACTTGAGATCTTATTTGAAAAGAAGTTTAAGTATTAGAAAAGTTTACAAACGATAGATGTGAAGTCCAACATTTTCATCAACAAAATTAAAATCCAAAATAACTAGTTAATTAAAATCATCTAATATTTAACTTTTTTTTAATGGGATCCCAAGTTTTAACCAAATAAATAAACATTATCAAAAATAAAAATAAATTAGAGTTATAGAGTATATGAAAGCATGAGATACCAATCATTTGAAAAACATTATAAAAAAAGAGGCAAAAAATATCATTTCACAAAATTATGGATCATTCACCATGGCTAATGATGCGTTCATTACGGCGAGCCACACCAAGACTAATTTGGTCTATATAATAGTCAACATTCTGTATATAAATGTTGGGGGTAATTTGCTCAAAATTTTAAAGTTCAGAATCCAGGACACTGTTCATATAATAGGTTCTATAGTGCTAATTAACAATAATGCCCACGGTTTTTGGCCCAGCACCACACGTTCTTGCATGTGGGATCTTCAAAAGATAAGCATATCCTTTGAGTCTTTCCTACAAATTAAAGTTGGAACTGTGTGGTTTGTTTGTTTCTTAGCGGAAAGAAAGAATGACCCTTTTACACTATATTATGATATGAAATGTGCAAATTTCTTTTGGCGAAGAAATAAAACAAGGGATTCCATAATGAATTGCTTAGCCGGATGAAGCTTTGCAGAAGGAAAGATAATGGTGGAATCCGTATCAAGCCTAGAGAATGTTTGATTTCTATTTTTAAAAATGAAAAAAAAATTAAATAAGTGTTTTGAATTTAATTGTTTCCAAAAAAAAATTATTTTTTATTTTAATTCTGTTTTTGTTTTAATTTTCAAATGCATTACATTTTATTATTGAAACGAAATCTATACTTACCTTGACTAATCATTTCAACCAATTTTCCAATTCTAAAATTGTTTTAATACAATCAAGCATATTTTTTATTTTTTAAAAATAATTTTTAAATTGTATTTCAAAACAATTTTTTTAAAAAAATTGTGAACACAAACAAATAGGTCCTTAGTCCCTAGAATTGGGTTTTCTTGGATAAGTAAGTTTTGAAAATAGCTACTAACTGTTTCGTTTTTCTCTATCTTAGTTATCGTGTCTTTTTCCTTTAGAAGTTTCATCTTTTGCATGTTTAAGGGTTTTGATTTAATTAGGCCTATTTTTTTCCCTCATTTCACTTGTTTTTTATACAACTCATCATAATTTTAATAAATTAATACAAGAAGTAATATATTTTTTTGTATCTCTTAACTATCGTTAAGTTTTTATAATCATATTTAAAAATATAAAGATTAAGGTTGCAAACAAATAAAACTTACAAGACTTGGAATAACAAAATAAAAAATATATAGGAACTATCAAAATATAGTGCAAGTATTGGGGGACAACAATTATATATATTTTTTAATAGTATTTAAATCAGGAGATAATAAGTTACATAGCACTTGTTCATTTTCATTCTGTTTTTTGGTTGAATGTGTTTCATTATTAATGAAGTTTCAGTTTTCATTATTAATTCTTTCTTTTTTTTTATACATGATTAATTCTTTCTTTTGTTGAATGTATATCACAAAATTGGCCCAAAAAAAATGTATATCACAATGTTCTGAGTTCTGCAGATCCAAATTTTTATTCGGCAAATCTAGTCCTAAACCCTATTTATGTACTTCCAAAAAGCGCTTTTTGAAAATATATACACGCACGCATAGTGCCATACAACCTTGGGCCTTTTGAAAGTGAAAATTAACTTTCTGAAAGTAGAATGTAAAGTTACCAAAACATTTTACACCCTTCTCGTTTCACATATTCTCTTCGTATAATTATGTGTCCCTCAAGTCTCTGTCCGATCCTTCATCTTCAGCCCAAACTTCTTGGCCCATCATAATAAGCTTTGCCCATTTAGGTATCATTGCAACTTGAAACTTAAAAATGATTTGGCATATTTACATAAAAAAGTGATTTGGCATATATGTTTTGTGGTCAATAATCAATCAGATATCAATCAATGGGGCAACTAAACGTAGAAACTTCAGGCGACCAGAGAATTAGGGGATTGAAAACAAAATATCATGTTTATTGTGGGGAGAGGGCTAAAATGAAATTGAATATTTCTACAGACTATAAGTGTAAGTTTTATTAAAAACTAATTTATCCATGGCACAAGCATCCCTCTGCATGAACATGATCATTAATTTTTTTTATCGATATAAGATATAATTTTGATGATATTTTCATAATATATGTCAAACTTATACTAATAAGTATTTAACAATTAATATTAAATTGTTTTCTTTATTTTTTTTCCAGATCCTTTTTTATTTTCGGAAGAAAATTAAATTTAAAACTTCTGGATTAGAATATTTAATTTTCTCTTGAAACTGCCACCACAAAGTGCTACCATTGAAGTATTGAATTTTTTTTAATGGTTATTTGATTAGGTTAAATTTGAGTGTTGTCAAGTTTAATTGAAAGTAACTCTTTCAAAGACATTTTTTGTATTTACACACCTTTAAATACAAGACCTCATAGTTAAACAGATACAATCTTTTCCATTAGGGCAAACACTTGTTAATATTGAAGTATTGATACTTACCAAACTAACATTTTTTTTTTACATTCAAATTTATATTGAATAAATATTTTTTTAAACAACATATCAGATTGAATAACTCTATTCTATACATTAAATTAGTCCACTCAACAAATCTAAATCCAATGCCAAACTCATACTTATCACACTTGGCAATTTACATTAATTTTTTAGTTCATTCAAATTCATTCCATTTTGTGTAAACGTTTTGTTTAATTATTTCCGTTTCTTTGTAACTCGCTAAATATCCATTACTCAACAGGGGAACCGATCGAGAAACATAAACGTCAATCATGTTTAAATAAAATAAACGTTTACATGAATGATCTTAAAAAACAGTAACCACTCATCATTTTCTCTTTAACGCGTGGACGCTGCCATATGTCGACCAATGGAGGTTGAAAGAGTCCAATGCTTGGCCTCTGGGCTGTTGCAGGATCTTCCATCCCAGTTCATCAGGCCGGCCGATGAACGGCCGCAGAATACCAAAGCCCTGGAGGGCGTCACGGTGCCGGTCATCTCTCTGTCCCTCCCTCACGACCTTCTGGTCAAGCAAATCGCTGAAGCTGCCTCCAAGTGGGGATTCTTCCTCGTCACCGATCACGGAATACCGCCGACTTTGATCCGCCGGTTACAAGAAGTGGGCCAGAAGTTCTTCGCTCTTCCTCAGAAAGAGAAAGAGTCATACGCAAATGACCCCTCCACAGGGAGCTTCGAAGGCTACGGCACCAAGATGACGAAGAATCTAGAGGAGAAGGTTGAGTGGATTGACTATTACTTCCACATGATGGCTCCTCCTTCCAAGGTCAATTATGATATGTGGCCCAAGAACCCTCCTTCTTACAGGTTTATGACGATGGATACGAATTACATTTGATCCTCTCCATACTCGAAGTCGAAGTCTGGTGAGTCTGGTTAATGTTAATTTGTTTTGTTGTTGTTCAGGGAAGTGACGGAAGAGTACAATAAGGAATTGCTGGGTTTAACAGACAAGTTGCTGGAGCTTCTGTCAGAAGGGCTAGGGTTGGAGAAGAAGACATTGAAAAGCAGCTTGGGGGATGAAAAGATTGAAATGGAAATGAAAATAAATATGTATCCGCCATGTCCGCAACCAGAGCTTGCTTTAGGCGTTGAGCCTCACACCGACATGTCAGCACTCACCCTGCTCGTCCCCAACGACGTTCCCGGCCTCCAGGTTTGGAGCCAACACCACTGGATCGCTGTCGATTACCTGCAAGACGCCCTCTTCGTCCATGTCGGCGATCAGCTCGAGGCAATACATGCATACATATCACACACACACACACTTGTCATGAATTATAACTGATACTTTATATCGGGTTGGTTAATTAATTAGGTGCTGAGCAATGGCAAGTACAAGGGTGTTCTGCACAGGAGCTTGGTGAACAAGGAAAGGATGAGGATGTCGTGGGCGGTGTTCGTGGCGCCGCCGCATGAGGCGGTGATCGGACCTCTTCCGGCACTGGTGAACCAAGAAAACCCACCCAAATTTTCAACCAAAACTTATGCTGAGTTCCGATACCGCAAATTCAATAAGCTCCCTCAATGAGAATTATTTCAACCAAAGCTCATCAGTAGAGATATTTCTGGTTGTCTCACGGCTCTTTGTTTCGTCTTCTCTACATGCATATCTCCTCTCCTTTAATTTGCCTCATTATATTCTCTCACAAATAACAATAATTATTTAAAATAAATAAATGCAGGAGCTGAATGTTACGGCTCGGGTGAAAAGGAGACATGGTTTTTGGTAGAATGTTATTCATTAAATATAATTTATAATATTAATTTTTTAAATAACTTTTAAATATATACTTCATTAATAAGAAAAAGAATGAAGATAATTTATTTAAGGATGAAATAATGAGAGGTAACATTAGAATAATCTTCATTAATAAAATCTTATTTTTCTAAAACATCTTATATTTTGTCACACTAAGTTACTTCAAAAAATGCTGCCTTATAAAATGAAACGTATGCTGGGAGTATTATTATACTGTTCTTTTTCTTTTTTTAATTTTCTGATCAGGAGAAAGTGAAGCCTTGGTGGCCCAAGTAGTAACGGTGAGGTAGGTTGCAGAAATTGAATGTGGTTAAGAATTCCCTCCAACTATTGACGTCGTGTCACCAGGTCTCCTGAACTATAATTCTGGTCATTTTTTGCCTAAATGTTTAAAAACCTATCCATTTTTTACCTTGGCGTTAACACACACTTGTCAACCAATTTTTTTGACAAAAAATGTACCCATGGCATTCAAATGGATGCCCATTCAGAAATTAATTAATGAGGTCATTTTTGCTTTTAAAATACTCCCTCTGTTTTTATATATAAAAAGAAAAAATTGTATCACATGGTTTAAAAAAATAAGTTACCCATGATAATTTTTTTGAAAATAAATACATTAGCCTAAAATACTCTATGTTAATTAACATAAGCATGCATTAATTATTTTTTATTAATGTAAATTATGATGAATGATTTAGGAAATATGTAATAAATACTTATTGAAATATATGATTTTACTTATATAAAAAACAAGTAAAAAGTAGTAATTTCTCTTATAAATTGAAACAGAGGGAGTATTCATTTAGGGACATCTAATGTTTTGAACTCAATTTTAAATTATTTTTCTTTAAATATTAAAAAACCTAACCACACATACAGACATTAAATTAAGTTAGCAAGCTCTACATGTGTGTGTACACGTGGCATCTAAGTGGATGCCTGGTCAGAAATTTTAAAAAAATTCTCTATGAGATCAAAGTTTGAAATTAAATTATAAAAATTTCTCCACGTGTAGTTAGCAACTTAACTCAGATTTTTTTTTTTAAAAGAAAATTCTTTCATATGTATACTGGGTAACCTCACTCAAATTTTTGAAAAAAAAAAAAGAAAATTCCTCCATGTCCACACTTGATGATTGGTTGCCCTCAATCCCGACAACTGAGGCCTACTATTGTTGCAAGAGAGGGCAAGCACCTATCTACATCTGAGCTAGGTTTGGAATTGAGGCAATGCAAAGAAAGAAAGACATCAAGATTCAGAGACGGGGTGTAATTAAAAAAAAAAAAAAAAGAGTTGGGCTGCCAAATGTGCACATGAATAAATCAGCATGGAGATTGCAACATAAAACACACACCCACTTATCATTATTATATTGTATGAGAATTATATGGAAATTGCACAAATATCACACGAAAAGTACAAAAAGAATCCACGAATATAGCAAAAAAAAAAATGGAATGATTTGTGTGGGGGTTCTCCGAGTCCCATTCTTTTTAATATTCTGCATTATTATATTCTTTCTTAAATTTGAGGGGGTTTTTTTTTTTTTGGGCTTCTCACCTTCCCTCCCATCCCTCCCTCCAATTTTGAGATTTTTTGAGGACACGTGAAAGATAAATTATATTTATTGATCACGAGTTTAGTATATCCTGGACATTGATTATAGCTCTTCTCTTATGTATATTTTCATACACACACACTAACACATGTCTTCAATATATAAATCAATAAATAAATACATATATATATATATAAAATAAATTGAGTAAAATATATATGTTCAATTAAATAATTTATATTAAATTTTACATATTAAAATTGAAAGGACATTACAACTCAATTGACGAAAGGAAAGGTACGGATGTGTGGAAGTCATAAGATGATATTGGTGTTGGTAACCATGCACTGTGACAATTAACTTCATCTAGAATGTCCTGATGGATTAAAGTAAATTAAATGCTGATAGTGACTTTATGTAAGAATTAAATGGTCGTGTGATTAGAAGAGGATCTCGCGTTTCATGTGATTATGATCATTGCCTCTTTAAGAATTAGAGAAGTTGGACCATGTGGTTGTTTGCCAGATTTGAAAGCTAAGCACTTGGAGATGGGAGAGCTTATTGGTTTTTCATTTGCTTTTGGACTATTACAAAAATTAACTTTAATATCATATATTTTATAACAATAAAAATAAATTGTTACTAATATTAAAGTCAAAAAAAAAGTTGCATTTTTTAGACCAAATGCCACCACTTATAAATTATTATTTTTTATTTACATTTTTTTAAAATAAAAATAGGTGACATTTTTAAAATGAAATGTCACAACTTTTTATTGGTTAACAATTAAGTCACATTTTAAACATCACCACTCTATTTTGTTATATGAATTAAGTATTTTGTTTTATTAGATTATATAATTATTTTGTCATAATTATTTAATCAGTATAAATAATCATTATATATTTTTAAATTAAATATTTAAAAATATAAAGTATTTTTAATCTTTTAATGTGTAATCATTATTTTTTAAAAAAATATTTTTATTAATAATAATTTTATATTTATTATAGGGTATTTAATGGCGGTAAATATAAAAAAATAAAATTAATTAAAAATAAATAATTATTTCATTAAAAGTAAGAGGCAATTAAAATTGTCAGAGGTACTATTTAATAATTAAAAGCTTTTGTCACAGTGATCGACATTGGTTTGGGAATAGTAGTGTCAGATTGATGGTGATGTCCACAATCGCTGCTGTAATGAATTATGAACGTGAGAAGAAAACATGGAAAGAATTTATATTGGATATTGGACGTTATTGGAAAGTGAAAATTCGTCCCTAAGATGATGTTTGGTTGGGATTTTCGAAGGGCATAAGAGGAGGGAGGGGTGAGGTGAAGTTTTTGGTTGCTTGGTTGGCATTAATTATGAAAGGAGAGAGGGAAGAGATGCCCTTATTTGGTTCAAAAATAAAATAATAACTTATTAATAGAACTGAATTTATATAAAATATTAAATGAAAATTGCAAAAAAATATTGTTCAAAAGTACATAAAAATCACACAAAAAATTAATGCACAAAAATTATAATAAGATAACATGTGGATTATACTATAGTATTGAAAATCAAGTCAAGCAGACTTAAACTAGTACATCATTGAACTAGTGCCTAAACCGTTGGTTGAATGAAATATTTTCTTTATGATTAATCTAAGTATAGTTTTAACTATTATTTTTCAAACTAATGCCTCAAACCATTTTAGAGATTTGTGTTAATAAATTTTAAAGTAAAAATATCATTTTATCCCTATTAAAAATAGCAAACCCTAATTATAACTTTTGTTTAAGAAATCGTAACTTTTATTTTGTAAATTACAAGAGTTGAATAAAAAATTATAACTTATTAAGTATAATTTTTGTTATTAAAAAATAAGTCCCAATCACAATTTTTAGTCAAAGAATAATAATTTTTATTCTATGAATTACAATAGTTGAATAAGAAATTACAATTTGTTAAGTGTAATTTGTATTATTAAAAAATAAGTTTTTAAAATAACAAATTTTATTCACAACTTTTGTTTAAAAAATTACAACTTTTACTTAAAGAATTGCAAAAATTAAAAAAAATTATAACTTGTTAATAAAGGTAAAAATGATCTTTTCAATTTAAAATTTATTGATAAAATAATTTCTAAAAATTTTAATAAAATTATGACATTTTGAGAAATCAAATTGTTATTTATATAATTAAAAAAATTATTATCATTTTCTCAACCTATTTTGTCATTTGCCTCACATTTATTCACACAACTTAAAGATAAAGGAGTAAATTTATCTATAAATTATTTTTTAAAGAATATCTAATATTTTAAGTTACTATAAGGTGGTGTAAAATAATTGATGAATTAATTAAGTCATTACCATACGTTCGTTCAATATTATGGGCCCGAGGCAAATTTAACAAGCGGCAGCCATTCCTTCATCAAACTGCATCTCTCTCCTTCCTCTCCCATGCCACTGGGATGACATTCATGTATCCTCTCTCACTCTCTCTCCTCACCATCTGTATCTTCTTCTTCTTCTTCACCACCCTCCATTTCTACAACCCACGCACCTTACAAGATTGCATCAATCTTCCTCCAGCACCTCCCAGCTTTCATCTAGTTCACACACATTCTCTCTCTCTTCCCAGATTTCGGGTTTGGTTTTCTTTCATTTCACATTCAGAAAGTAAAATTTTACTTTCAGAAAGTTGAAAGTTATTTGTATAAAATATTTTATAAAAAAGCACATCTGAAAGTAGATTCAAACAATAACTAAAAGTGAATTTCTAAAATATAACTATTTGAAACTTTTGAAAAGTAGATTTAAAAAGTAAGATGTTATTTGACCATACTACTTTAAGGTTAATTTCTTATTCTTTTATTTAAAAAATACTTAATTCATTAAAAATATAATTATTATTTTAATAATAATAATTAGGTATCAACTTTTTAGTATTATAAATTGAGTAATTAATTATGTTAATTTTTAGCATTAATGTATAATAAAAATTACAAATTTTTATTACATCTTTTAAAATTATAAATTAAAAAATATAAATAATTAGAGATCAAATTTTTAGCATTATAAATTAAAATTTATGTTATTTAAAATCTTTATTATATTTTTTAAATATTTTAAATATATTACATTTGTATAATAAAAATTATAAATCATTATAAATTAATGTTTATTTTGGTAATTGTACATTTAAAAATACATTCGACTATCACAAA